AGCAGAAAAAGCACACATTCAGTACATTTTGAGCGCTTGCTTAGCAGCAAAAAAGCACACGTTCATCAACTTTTCACTTGTATTTAATTTCTATATTTTGACTTTTATTTATTAATTTCTTTATTTTAAAATTTTGCCTCCTCGCCAGTTTCTGTGGTCTGCATTGCCTTCTTTTTAGTGCAGCTGAGGTTCGTTACGCACCGCATTGCCTTCTGCATCTCCTTTTCGGGAGGCTCCGTGGTATTTGTTTTTTCTAGTATTAGAAAAAAATTTGTTTTAAAAATAGAACGCGACAGGAATAAAAGCGAGTGACCGAAAGTAATCGTTATTTGTAAGTTTTATTTACAATAAAAGAAATGCTATTTTTGGCATTTCAAGCAAAAATCCCAGAAGATTTTTAAAAATTTAACTTACAAATAATAGTTACTTTCGGCCCCAATAAAAACATACTTAGTAAGGCGCGGACGAAATTTGGGTACATCTTTAGCTTCTTCTTGTTCACAACTCACTTGTTTTGTTTTCAATATCTCGTTATTATATTATAAATGTTTATAATAATTATTTTCTCTTTAAAAATAATTAAATTTGGTAAAATTTTTTTTGGATTAAATATTTTTATATTTTAATTAAACATAAATGCAATGGATAAAATACATGGCAAAAAATATGAAAGTTAAATATGAAACCTTGGACTTACTACAATTTTTTTATCAGTGTAGAAATTGCAAACTTTTGTTTTCGGTCACTAGATTTATTTTATTTTGTTCTAAAAAATTATTAAGAAAAATTTACCACACATTATTTATATATTTTTTATTTTATTTTGCAGTTGCGGAAAAAAATAACACTTTTTCAGGGACTGAAAGTTAAAGATGTTTGAGACTTTTATTTAAATAGCCATGTTTGCTTATGCACACAGAAGTAAAAACTGGTTTAATGTTATTAAAATTCATTTTTAACGACTTTTAACAACAAATTTAAGTTTTAAGAACAAACATCTTATTTTGTGTCCCTAGGAACCTTTCACTCACTAAGATCTTTAAATTCTTTCACAGATTTATTCAATTTTTATTTATATGCACCATTTGTTGATTTTCACGTCAAAAATAAATATTTTTCACTGCTACTTTTTTCCGCCACTGTGTTTTTTGGGAAACTTGTATTTCCCTTATTTTTAATATACATCAACATGTTTTTTACTCTCACTGTTTAAAAAATTATTGGTCTACGACAGACTTACCTGGGAATCGTATAAGTATTACTTTTAAACCACTGGCTTATTCTATTTAACAACGTTAATTGCGAGTAAATCTAACTCCTTTACATAAGTAAACGCAAGTGAAAACAAGGAACAACGCTATAGTCGAGTACCTCGACTATCAGATACCCGTTACTCAGCTAAAGGGACGAAAGGGAAAAGGAGAAATGCAAGCAGCAAAGCGAGATTAAAACGCGCCACATACCGGCGTAAGACAGATTAAAGCGTTATGGGCGTTAGAGTGGGCGTGGCAAATTTTTTTTTTACCAATTGATAGGTGTTTGTGCCTAACCGAAGTAGACACTTCCTGGTCACACCGCGGGACAAGGGTGTAATGAGCACTTGTCGCTGGCACGGGGACGCTATGATGGCAGGACGATCGCGTCGCGGCAATGGTAACGATGGTTACTGCGATGCCGGACCACAGGCGATGCTGGAGCTGCGCTGAGGGTGAGCTAACGTGGTTAGCTGCTAGTTGAGATAGTTTATTACGAGCCCTATTCCCAGTTGTAGGAAGTAGAACCGCGGAGTTAAGAGGTGTGTTGATAACTAATTTATTCTTCATTTGATACCTGCTTATATACTACTTGGAACACGGAAGCTTAGTGTAATGATTAGTGAAATAAGCTATAATCTAAAGTAGGTCAGGGAATTATGATTATGGTGCAGTTGGCTCGGCTAAAACTGCAACATGTGCTGACTGCAGGTGTGTTGGTGAGACATAATATGCTGATCAGCAATTCTCATATGCAGTGGGTGCTACTGAGCGCCTGGTACTGACACTGCAACATACGCTGACTGCATTGGCGGGTCAGTGCGCCGTTGAGTCGGTGAGACGGTGAGTTAGTGAGACATATAATATGCTGATAAGCACTTCTCATCTGCAGTGAGTGCTACTGAGCGCCTGGTACTGTTCCCAACTTAGATTCTGCTTGATTTGTTGGGTGTGGTCATGTTGAGTACCTTTGGGTACGAACAATAGGTATTGACGAGACCAATACATTTTAGTTAAAAATTTTTATGGAAATACAAGAAGTGTAAAATATTACTATGGGCGAAAAGTAAGAAGAATTTTTTTGTAAAATGAAAATTTTTTATTATTCTTAATCATTTTCATCTCCTTTAAAGTAACCTCCTCCCGATAAAATAACGGAATGCCTAATGTTTTTTCCATTCCTCGAAACATGGCAAATCGTACTTTTCTGGAGTTTTAGGAATAGCCAGAAGTCACACGGAGCCAAATCAGGCGAATACGGTGGTTGCTGAACGTATGCGTCGAATTTTTGGTGAAATGGTCACGAAGAACGAATGAAATGTGAGCCGGTGCATTATCGTGATGCAAAAACCAAGAGTGCTCGTTTCCCCAAATTCTTTTTTTTTTTTTTTTGACGAATACTAGTATTTATGGTTTGGCCGAGTGGAAAAAGTTCATAGTACACAACGAAAATCGAAAAAACCAAATTCACATTACTTTTTTCCCATAGAAGTATACAAGCAGGAAATGTCGCTTAGCATAACTACACCGCAAAGCACCCACAGCAACCAGGATCTGCACTCGCCAACATACTTTCTGGCACGCCCTTAAGTACCCTATCACAATAGGAAAAGCATAAACGAAGCAACCCATCAACCATTCGACAACCTAGCTACGAAGGAGGAAGTGATGGTGCTTAAGGCCCAATTGGACACGGTGACAGAGATCTTTGACGACCTGAAGGCCGATTATGGCCAGACAGTGGAAATGCAGCAAGGCTCAAAACCTTATTTTTAAAGGCTTTAACAAAGAGGACGCCTCAAAGCAGGGAGTAGAGAAGCTGTATAGTGATAATACAGCACAGGTTTGGAGCGTACAAAATTTACTCAGCCACAGCGCGCGAGTTACCGCACACATTGTTGCAGACACACCGTCGCCGCCCAAACCGCGGCGACACAGATGGCCCACACATTGTGTGCATAAACGCTGAGCTAGGAAACCGGCGGAAGTGACCGGAGCCAGTCGACTTAGCAGCGAACGAAGTCAGCCGCCTTAGCAACTACGCGGATTCTGCCAACTATGCAGATTCCGATTTCCCATTCCATTTCATTCTCACATATTTCACTTCATTCCATAAGTTAGCTTTCAGTTTACAAACGAATAAACGATCACTTTAATTCTTTTTGTCAACCAACAAAGTTGTGTCTTTATTGAAATACAAAAACCCTCTTTGAATTCTCAAACAATATATACACAAGGTGGCCCATCTAGCGTTTGCTTTTTGAACTATCGATAATTTTGACTTTGACATTTCGAATGTCATTGTCAATGTGTCATATATTTAGTAGAAGGTTTGCGGCTTACGAAATGCTTAAGTTTACGCTCGAAGAAAATTGGGAAATATTGAAAACTTTCTTCCAAAGTGGAGAGTCTTCAAGCGAAACTGCAAGAAAATTGCGGTCAAAATTCGGAAAAAATAAAGCGCCTTCCAGGCAGTTTGTGGAAAGTTTTGTGAAGCGTGTGCGTGAGACTGGATCGTTGATGGATAAAACAACGCGTTTACGCGCTCGTCCAGTTCGGTCGGTCGAAAATATCGCTGCGGTGGCCGAAAGTGTCAATGACAGTCCGTCGACGTCAACTCGGCACAGTGCTCAAGAGTTGGACATTTCGCGCACTTCCCTGCAACGGATTTTAACCAAAGTCCTCCGTCTAAGGCCGTATAAGATTCAGTTGGTTCAGCAGATTAAGCCGCATGACCATCCAATGCGTTTTCGGTTCGCGGAATGGGCTCAGGAGCGCTTGGTCGAAGATGACCATTTTTACCGAAAAGGAAGGAGCCGCCGTAACCGTTAATGGTGTACGCTATCGCGGCAAGTTGGAAGACTTTTTCTTTCCCCGAATGGAAGAGGAAGACATAGACGACATATGGTTCCAGCAGGACGGCGCTTCGTGCCAAACAGCCAACGTCACAATCGGTCTTTTGCACGGTACGTTCGACACCGTTGGACTAATTATTGTGGGGTGCCGTAAAGGATAAGTGTTACGCCAACCACCCAGAGACGATTGACGACCTAAAGCACTAGATTGAAGTCGCCATTGAGGGCCATACCATCGAAAATGTGTTTAAAAATTGGGTCGACCGAATGGGCTACTGTAAAGCCAGCCGAGGCAGCCATATGAACGAAATGGTGTTTCATATCTTTCAAATCTTTCGTTGGCCACCCTTTACTATCGGCCTTTTTCGACAGAAAAAAGTTTTACGTATTCTTGCATTTGTAAATGTTACAAAAATATAAGTCTGAAGATCAAGAAATGTAAGTATTAGTCCAATTTTATAAAATAGCTGGTAAATGGTGCTATTCTTAGTTTTGCCCTTTTTTGATTTTTTTTCTTAAATACAGACAACAATTTTAATACAATAAATAGTAAGTACCAAATAAGTACTTAAAACTTTTTTCCGAAATTATTAGGTTTTGTTTTTAAGATTTTTTAAAGGAAATGAAATGACTTGCCGATGTATATAATTTTTATTAAATGTCGGGGCCATATCGAATAAAAAGATGTGTTATTCAAGATTAAAGCCGTTTGGTCTGGAAGACATTGCGGTAGAAATAACCATATGTAAAACAAAAGAAACAACGAACGGACACACATGGCTAAAAATAGTCTCGGATGTTGATGCTGACTAAATAAAAATAAATGGTCTACAAATTGAAATTCGATATTTGAGACAAATGACTTCAGCGTTACTTTTCATAAGTTTCTCCAAAAAGAAACGTTATTTTATAGGGGTGTAGAATAGTTACCATTTTGGAAACTGGTTAAATGTGGTTTTAATATAATTTTCGTTTTGTACTTACGATCTAATCCACCAACATAGCGCATTGTTATTTCGCAGTGACCCCAAACCCCCGAAACAACTGGATATAGTTTTTTTCCTCGCAACCCTCTAAACGTAATATTAAGATACTGCTGATCAACAATGAAGCCTAGTGTTCCTTCGTCCATATCTAAAGCTACTAAGAATTTGTCTGTAACTAAAAAAGCTTCGTCGTTTTTATACCCGTTACTCATAGAGTAAAAGGGTATACTAGATTCGTCGGAAAGTATGTAACAGGCAGAAGGAAGCGTTTCCGACCCCACAAAGTATATATATTCTTGATCAGGATCACTAGCCGAGTCGATCTAGCCATGTCCGTCTGTCTGTCCGTCCGGATGAACGCTGAGATCTCGGAAACTATGGGAGCTAAGCTATTAAGATTTGGCGTGCAGATTCCTGAGCTTCTTTCGCAGCGCAAGTTTGTTTCAGCAGAGCGCCACGCCCACAAACCGCCCAAAACTGTGGCTCCTACAGTTTTGATGCTAGAAATGCTAAAAATTTTAACTGAAATGTATTGTTCTCATCAATACCTATCGATTGATTCAAAAAAAAGTTTGCCACGCCCACTTTAACGCCCACAAACCGCGAAATTCTGTAACGCCTCCAATGTTCATGCTAGACAAAAAATTTTAACTGAAATGTATTGGTCTCGTCAATACCTATCGATTGATCCAAAAAAATTTGCCACGCCCACTCTAACGACCATAACGCTTAAATCTGTATACGGCCGGTAGGTGGCGCATTTTAATCTCGCTTTGCTGCTTGCATATCTCTATTTAGCTGAGTAACGGGTATCTGATAGTCGAGGTACTCGACTATATTGTTCTTCCTTGTTTAATATTGCTGGATATGTGACACCAGCACAGTTTTTTGAGTCATAATACAATTTATTTCTTCACAAGTCCCAGTCTCAACTTTGTTCAGTTGATCCGACTAAGCTTTGGTATCCAACTGAATGTAATGGCGCATCTGCAGTGGATACACCAACAACAGCGTGTGTTCCTTTTTGCCTTTTTGGCCAATAGGTTTCCCAAATATGCAATCCTTTTGTAAGTCCGACTTTTCCACGTATACAATCAGTACTTTGAACGACTGGGTGCCTATGAAATGACAACTTGTCGTCTTGCTTTACAAAAATATTTAGCGACCTGTCTTCATAGTTCCATGAATGCTTTATTTGTAGTTCTCGAGACGCTGGTGGCATATCAAGTAAAATATCGATGCGCGCTGGTTTGACAAAATCCGTTTGTAACTCCCATGGTATTATTGGTTGACTAACTGTTTTAACTCCACCACTATTTTTTTGACCCATGTTCATGCCACGGCAGCATCTTCTTTGTTCGATTGCAACTTCGTAGGATAATCAAAGATGATCAAACTCCCTGAGTTCCAGTCTTGACAACACAACTCTTGGCGATAATGTGGATATAGATGAAACACTTTGGGGACTGTAATTGGCACTGGATTCTGAACACAGTATAAATAGATACTGTAATTCGCGCTCATGACATTTTACATATACAATTTACTTCAAGAACAAGAGAAAACGCTATAGTCGAAAATCTCGACTGCCAGATACCCGTTACTTAGGTAAATGTACGTAAAAACTCGTTAGCAGCTGATTTTCTGCATGAATTTGCACTCCATAGTTGGCTAATTATTTATTATTTTTTGGGTATACCTTTTAATGAATGCTCCGATTTGATGTATTTTTTTTTGCATGTATATTGGTATTGATACGAAGAACAAAATCTCATTTAAATTTTAACAAAATAGTAAAAAATTTGGGAGCTTGACGGGTTTTAGCGTTATGGGCGTAGCACCCTGCTGAAACAAACATGCGCAGCGCAGGGGGTTCCCAACACTCTAGCTCTTATAGTTTCAGAGTCTGTTCATACGGACAGACAGACATAGCTAGATCGACTCGGCTAGTGGAAATGGGTGTCGCCAGACCGGTCAAAACCAACCTCTGTGAAATAGTATGCAACTCCAGATTACTAGGACTGCTAACAAAGCAAGCGGACAGGAAATAAAACAGTCCGCAAAAGCAACTCAAGACCACTGTCGCCTCCACCTACTCTCAGAGCCGCGAACTATTTCACCGTATCTCCACATCCAACGCAATGCCGTACAGGAACATGGCCTCCACCGACTGAACGTTGTGCAATATGCTAGCAGTACAAAACACACTGCATTTCCTAGCAATATGTCTCAAAATAAAAAGAATCCCTCAGCAACACTGCGGAAGAGTGAGTCTCAGTGAAATCGAGATTATCCGGCTACTCAATGGCACGGGCTGGCCCAAACTGGCACAGTTCGTGAAAGATAAGCTAAGATATAGAGGAGAAATGACAAGAGAAACGTTCTACATTTAACAACGTAGCAATTACATATTAAACAATATGGCAAACGGCAGACATGCCATGCTATAAAATAAGTTCATTAATTATAATATATTTAAACTAAATTACCATTTTAAAACTAACTTTTATAAAGAACTACCAATACTATTTCTACTACTACTATATATAATCATTTATTTTTATGTTTTCTGAAGTAGTAGTATTAAACAAGGAAGAACGCTATAGTCGAGTACCTCGACTATCAGATACCCGTTTCTCAGCTAAAAGAACAAAACGGAAATGAAGCGAGACTGAAATGCGCCACATACCCCTGATCTCAATATATGGTTATGTGACAGATCGTTAAAGTCGTTAAAGTGGGCGTGGCAAACTTTTTTTTGGGTCAATCGATAAGTATTGATAAGAACAATTCATTTCAGTTAACATTTTTACTCTAGCATTAAAACTGTAGGAGCCACAGTTTTGGGCGGTTTGTGGGCGTTAAAGTGGGCGTGGCACGCTGCTAAAACAAACTTTCGCTGCGTAAAAAGCTCAGGAATCTGCATACCAAATCCCAATAGCCTAGCTTTTACAGTTTCCGAGATCTCAGCGTTCGTCCGGACGGACAGACGGACATGGCTAGATCGACTCGGGTAGTGAACCTGATCAAGAATATATATAATTTATGGGGTCGGAAACGCTTACTTCGTAAAAAAAAATAAAAAACGGAAAATTTATTTAATGAAGCTATGAATAGGGTCCACAATATCTAGTTGTCTTTTCATCAATCAATGTGTATACAAAGCATTCCGATTTTTAGAAAATTAAAAAATAATCACAGAAAAATTAAGATAATGTTATCGAAATATAACGATTTTTATATTATTTTGGCATTAATTTTGAAATTCTTCCTATGTAAGCTATATGATACAATTATATTAAAAATAATAATAATATAATTTTATTCGTGATTGTAAAACAATAAACGCCATATTTCGAAGTAGACGAGAGTATGATCAAAAATAATGAAGACTAATTATTATCCTAATATTTTCCAATTAATTATCCGAATAATTTTATCTGCAATTCTTAAACCGTAATGAAGAGCTGTTTCGTATACTATACTTAGATAGTATGAACACGAACGAAAAAGCTTGACGTTTATATCAGAAACATTTTTGTTAAAATATTTAAAATATTTCATTTTGTTCCACCTATTTTACTTGTGCTTTTTATTTGGCCAACTGCATAAAAACACTTTTGAATGAACACATGTATGGTGGCGACTCAGCATAAAAAAGCTTAAATTTTTCTTAAATAAAGCCAATAAAGCCAATAGTCAGTCGATGTGCTACACATGCAAAGGTGTAGAAAAGAGGCAATGGAGCGCAGTAATCCTAAGTCGCACTAAAACAGCTGGTTCTGGTGCTCCCAACTTCCAATTATAATTTATAACGCTTGGTTCACCACTTCTCCTCCCCTATGCTTAAGAGGAGAGTACTAGTTTGATTATGAGTGGTTAGTGAACGCGGATTGTCTGCCTGACCTTTGGATGAAGCTTTTGGGAGACCGTATTTAGGTCTCCGGCACTTAGAGCTGGTCAGTGGTAGAAGAGGTGTTGTATCCTCCTCTCCTCTTCGTCATTATCTCTGCAGCTTTGACAGAGGTCATTATGGGGTATCAAGAGTCTGACTGCGTAAATCACCAACCAGTTATCCAATGACCCGTGATAGCCCTTATGGCTTGGGCGTGCTCTGGTTTGTGGAGGGTGTATTGTTCTATAGAGCGCTTCGGCATCCGTTGTGGCCAGAACTTTCGCGATGTTTTGTTAGAAGTAAGTTTTCTCGTTTGCTACGAGATTAAAAAAGTCTCTCAGTATAAGTCAACTTATTTCATCTCCTTAGAAAGAGCGGGGGTAGTTCCCGTACTGGCCATTCCATCGGCCGACAGCCTCCTATTATCTCTCTATGTCCAAAAGTGGAGGAGTGAGAGATATGGCGAAGTATGTTTGCCATTAAAGTTTTATTGAGATTAAGTTTATTAATATTATCAAGACACGTGTGTCGCTCGCTGATTCTTGCCGAAAAATCCCCCGAGTGTTGCCACAACATTCTTTAAGGTCACCTGGCAAGCTTCTGTTGGCGCTGCTGCCATATTAGGTTGCCAAAGTCGAGGACATTTTTATTCATCGAGGGCCATACAAACTTTTGGCGCACTTGACGAACTGTTCACCGACCACTGGGATGAGACTAACCGTGAACGAACGAAAACAGCATTGCGCAAAGATTTGGGTACATAAGGACGAACGCTCCCTGTAGAAACATCGCGGTAGAGTGAGATGCTGTCATCAAATTGAACCCTTTGAAGATTTAAAGATGTGGTTCCTTTTAAGAGGTATACCAGTTCAGGATCTGACGCTTGCTCCTCTTCAATTTGCGATAATTTGATGACAGTCGGCATTGTTATAGAGCATAATCTTTCACATGCACAATAGTCGTGCAGAATTGAGAGATGTAAGCCAAATGTCGTAGCTGTCTCGGTGATGCTTTCTCTGGTCGCTGCTGAAATGCGTACACGAGCGGCTTGTGATCCGTTCTGGTGACAAAAATGCGTCCATCAACAAGGTGTTTGAAATATTTAATGGATTCGAAGATAGCGAGCAGCTCTCGGTCGTACGTTGAGTAATTTTTCTCCGTGTTGCTCAGCTTCTTTGAGAAAAATCCTAGAGGTTGCCAATTTCCGTGTGTACGCTGCTCCAAAACTGCTCCGCTTGCGAAATCGGAAGCATCGCAAACCAGCTGAAGTTCAGATTTTGGTGCGGGAAAAGACAAGAGGGCTGCGTCTGCTATGCTGTGTTTGCAAGCTTGAATGGAGCTCTGATGTGCAATCAATTTTACGTTGATAATTTTTTTTAACATCCTTTAGCAACTCAGTGAGCGGTGCTTGAATGTGTGATGATCGAGCCAAACATCTGCGATAGTAATTTATAACGCCCAAGAAACGACCAAGTTGGCTTATGGTTTCAGGGCGTGCATAATTAAGAATGGCATCTGTGCGTTCGTTGGGTGGTTTAATTCCAAATTCGTTGATCGTATAGCTGAGAAAGTTTACTTGAGATTGCGCAAACTGGCATTTGGTCAGATTGATGCTTGGGCCATGTTTCTGAAGTACTTGCAAGACAGCCCGAAGATGTTCTTCGTGTTCAACGATGGAATGCGACGTTATAAGTATGTCGTCATGTAGCAATAAACGAAGTCCATGCCTTGAAAGATGTTGTCCATAAAGCGTTGAAATGTTTGAGTCGCGTTTTTTAACCCAAACGACATGTATTGAAACTCAGAGTCCAAAAGGAGAGCACACCGCTGTTTTTATACCCGTTACTCGTAGAGTAAAAGGGTATACTAGATTCGTCGGAAAGTATGTAACAGGCAGAAGGAAGCGTTTCCGACCCCATAAAGTATATATATTCTTGATCAGGATCACTAGCCGAGTCGATCTAGCCATGTCCGTCTGTCCGTCTGTCCGTCTGTCCGTCTGTCCGTCTGTCCGTCTGTCCGTCTGTCCGTCTGTCCGTCTGTCCGTATGAACGCTGAGATCTCGGAAACTATGAGAGTTACAATACTGGGATTAGGCACGCAGATTCCTGAGATTCCTGCGCAGCGCAAGTTTGTTTCAGTAGAGTGCCACGCCCACTCTAACGCCCACAAACCGCCCAAAACTGTGGCTCCTACAGTTTTGATGCTAGATAGAAAATTTTAACTGAAATGTAATGTTCTCATCAATACCTATCGATTGACCCAAAAAAAAATTTGCCACGCCCACTTTAACGCCCACAAACCGCAAAACCCTGTGACGCCCACAATTTTCATGCTAGATAAAAAATTTTAACTGAAATGTATTGGTCTCGTCAATACCTATCGATTGATCCAAAAAAAAATTTGCCACGCCCACTTTAACGCCCACAAACCGCAAAACCCTGTGACGCCCACAATTTTCATGCTAGA